GTGCTCATTCCAGCGCGTTCCGGCGAAGACCGTCCGCAACGCGCTTGGGCAAGCGCTGGGTTTGAGGAAGGCGAGTGGGAACTGTTCAGGCAGTTTGGGATGCTCGGGGCAAGAGGCGGAAGCCATCCTCAGAAGACATGCAGTCTTCCTGGAGCCGTCTTGCAGAAAACAACAAAAAACAATGAGACCCTGCAGTCGTTCCTGGAGCCGTCTTGGAGCCCTCTTGGGCTGCCCTGGAGCCTGTTGGAGCCCTCTGCGGAATGGTCTTGGAGCCCGCGCCGAGGATCTGGAAAATGTCCGGGACCATCGCGGCGGCCTCCGAGGCCAGGGACGCCGAACCCCGGTGAAAACACAGCGAAAATGAGTCCCGGTACTCGCATGGAGGGTCGGGCAGCTGTTTTCGGGCCCCTGGATTAGAACCATCGCGCGCGCTTCGCGCGCGCTCAGGTTCTAGCCCAGGCCGGGGGGGCGCTGGACGATCTTGGACAACGCTATCAAGCACAGGCGCGCGACGGCATCTGAGGAGCTTCTGGGGTGTTCCGCATGCTTCGTCAACTGGCTGTTGGAGGCACCTCTTGGGTGCTTCTTGGGGGGGCGTCTGAGGGTCCCTTGGGGGCATCGGTTCTGCAATCTGAAGCCGTCATTGGCCGTCTTGGCTGCGTGGAGGCCCGACTTGAGGCCACCTGCGGCCAGATTGAGGCAATCCGGAAGCCTCCCAGGGGCCTCCTGGAAGCAGTTTTGACGCATCGAGGGCACTCTTGGGCTATTTGAAAGCCTCTTGGACGTCTCCTGGTGGCCTTTTAGGCCCTCGGGGAAGCTTTTGGGGTCCTCGTCGGACCACTTGGGGGCCTCTTGCGGCCTCCTGTGGGCCTTGTGGGGGGACCGCTCTGCTGTTGGGTCGCGTTCCCCTTCTTGGGCCTCTCTTGGGGCTCTTGGGGCCCTCTCGGGCCGTCTTGGGCGCCTCAAGCACCGTCTTGGGGCCCTCGCGGGCCGTCTTGGGGCCCTCTTGGAGGCCTCTTCCTCTATATGGGAGCGGTATTGGAAGCCTCTTGGGCCGTCTTGGAGCATAAGGATACCAAAAGGCAGAAAAAAAAAGCCCAATCGTAAAACAATGTGTTGTGCCTCTTGGGGCCACCTTGGGAGATCTCTTGGAACCTCGTCGGCCCTCTTGGGAGCTTCTTGGGGGCCTCTTGGATCCGATTGGGGGCCTCTTGGGACTTCCCGAGACCCTCTCGGGGTAGAAAGCTCGGATTCTCGGTTCGTGTTTCCCTTCTTGGGCCTCTCTTGGGGCCGTCTTGGGGCCCTCTCGGGCCGTCTTGGGCGCCTCAGGCACCGCCTTGGGGCCCTCGTGGGCCGCCCAGGGCCCTCTTGGAAGCCTCTTCGGCTATCTTGGAGCTGTCTGGGAGGCCTCTTCCTCCTCCTCGTCCCCCTCCTCCTCCTCCCACTCCAGCTCTCTCTCCTCCTGATCTTCCTCCTCCTCCTGCAGCGTGTTCCGGAAGGCTCCCGCCGGAACATGCTGTGCACAAGTGCTGTCACTGCTGCCGCCACCGTGCCCTGGGTGGTGGGTCAGAGGCCTCATGGGTGTTGGTTTGGATCTCGTGGTTGGCCTGTCGGGGACGTCGTGAAGGCAGTTTCGCAGCTTCTCGGTAGCCCTTTTGGGACCGTTGTGGGGCCTCCTGGGGTCTGTTTTGTGGCCTCTGTAGGCCTCGTTTGGGCCTCCTGGGTGCCTCTTGGGGGCCTCCTGGGGCCTCTTGGGGGCTCCTTGGGGCCTCCTGGGGCACTCTTCAAGCGGGAGGGTCGAATTTTGGAGTCGTGGTCCCCCTCTTGGGCGCATCTTGGGGCCGTCTTGGGGCTCTGTTGGGCTGTCTTGGGCGACTCTGGGGCCGTCTTGGGGCCCTCTTGGGCCGTCTTGGGGCGCTCTTGGGGGCCTATTGAGCCGTCGTGGAACGTCGGACAGCCGAAAAGGCTGGAAGGCCAAAATCGTTCGAAAACCTTCGTAAACTTGACGATTTCGGCCTCTGGAAGCGCTCTGGAGAGGCGTCTTGAAGCGTCGTGGAGTGCCTTGGGGGGCCTCTCGGGCCGTCTTGGGCCTATCTTGGGCGTCCTGGAGCGGTCTTTCGGCGACTCGGGGCCCGCTTGGGCCGTCTTGGGAGCCTCTGGAGGCCCTCCTGGGGGTCGGAGGCGGCGGCCTCCGAGGCCCAGGACGCGGAAACCATGTAAAAACAAAGGGAAAATGAGCCCGTCCCGCCATGGGGGGTGGAGGCACCTGTCCTGGGGGCCCCAGCCTCGCCCCCAGGGATATATGTATATATATATATATATATATATATATATACATACATACATACTTATGTTATATATACACCTGTTTTGAACAAATCAACTAAATTTTATATATGCTTCTTTTCCCGCCGTCCACGACGGCCCAAGAGGCCCCCACGATCGCCCCCAGAGCACCCACGAGGCATTCAAGATGACCCCATGACGGCCCAAGAGGCCCCCAAGACGGCCCCAAGAGGGCCCCAAGACTGGCCAAAAGGCCTCCAAAACGCCCAAGATGGCCTCCAAGACGGCCCCGAAGCGCCCCACGAGTGCCCCAAGCCGGTTCAGCACGGCTCCCGACGGCGTCAGACGGGCCAGGAACCCACCAAGATGGCCGAAGTTGGCTCGAAGCTGGCCCAAGAGGCCTCCAAGAGGGCCTCCAGGAAGGCCAGAAAAAGGTTGTTCAACAAAAGCACTGATTTTCCTAGGTTTTTGAAGGATTTTGACATTTGCTTCTTTTCGGCCTTCCGACGGCCCGAGACGGCCCAAGAGCCCCCAAAGATCGCCCAAGAGGCCTCCAAGAGGCCCCCAAGACGGCCCCAAGAGGCCCCCAAGACGGCCCCAAGAGGCCCCCAAGACGGCCCAGGAGGCCTTTAAGACGCCCAAGATGGCCTCCAAGACGGCCCCGAAGCGCCCCAAGAGTACCCCAAGCTGGGTCAGAGAGGCCCCCAAAACGGCTTCCGACGGCGTCAAACGGGCCAGGAGCCCACCAAGACGGCCGAAGATGGCCCTAAGATGGCCCAAGAGGCCTTCAAGAGGGCCTCCAGGAAGGCCCGAAAAGGCGAAAATCATTGATTTCCCCTGAGTTGATGAAGGATTGTGGCATTTGCTTTTTGTTCGGCCTTCCGACGGCCCGAGACGGCCCAAATGCCCCCAAAGATCGCCCAAGAGGCCCAAGACGGCCCAAGAGGGTATACGCCGTTTCTTCACCTGCTGATGAATGTCACCATCCACGCAAACAGATCGAGACCTCTGCACCCCGCTCAGCAGGGTTTGAGCGCCGCAGTCTAAACCTGAGTGCACAGATGCACGCACAATCTTGAGCCCAAGAGGCCCCCAAGACGGCCCAAGATGCCTCCAAGACGCTCAAGATGGCCTCCAAGACGGCCCAAGAGCCCGACGTCCTCCAAGAAGGCCCGAAAGGGTCAAAATGGCCTCCAGACGGCCAAGATGACCTTCAAGATGCCCACGTGTTCCCCGAAGGCTTTCCAAACCGATTCGGGGAACACATGGTCCGATAGCTTGGCAGGTCTGGCCTCAACGTTCGGCCACATAGGCGCTTCCAAAAAGGCAGGAGGCGGCGGTGATGCGCCATAGGCGTCTTCAATAACAGTGATTCGAGCGGGTCCGGCTCAAGAAAGAGGCACGACGAGGAACGCGAAGAGTGATCAGCGCGGGGCCAACCATGGAAACGCGTGACACAAAGGACAAGACACTCGAGGGAAGCAGCGGATCCCCCACTCGAGGGAAGCAAGCGAGTTCAAGGCCAAATTGTGCACCCCGACAACACGCGCTCAGTGTGTCCCCGCTTCGGTCGTTGACGCTCCAGGCTCCAGGACAGGGAGACTCCACTATTTTGTTTACCTGCGCGCTGCTGCGAAACGCCCTGCCACACGTCGCACAAGCTCATACCTAGGAACACCTTCGGCCCAGGCGCTAACCTCAACAACAAATTTGACGGCCCCGTGAAGACAATGGGTGTCCTCGCGGATGCACCGCAGTGCAAACATCATAGGAGATCGCAGCGATTTGGGTCACCAGCTGCGGTGGGGTTTCCCCGCCGCTTCCGCGGCCCTGACAGGTGTTCCGTGGTAGGAGGCTTTGGCGCTGGCCACCCACTGGCGACGGTTTCCCTGTCGCTTCCGTGGGCGACGCCAGAAGGTGCTTCGTGGTAGGCGTTGGTGCCGACCGCTCACCAGAGACTGGCTCCCCCACAGTTTCCGCGGGCGACCCTGGCAGGTGCTGCGTGGTAGGAGACTTTTGTGCGACGACTCGCTGGCAGCAGATTTCCCCGCCGCTTTCCTGGCGACGCCCACCTGCCCTCCTCCCATTTAAGCCGTGTGTTGCGCTTTGACTTCGCAATATTAGGAGATAGGCGGAAGACCCCCCCGCCGCATTTGCGCAACAAAACATATGTTGGTGCTTCCCCCCAGGAGATGCCGGGTCCTTGGCCCTGGGGCCTTCCCCCGCGATCTTGAGTCGCTTCTCCCCGATAGCGTTTCGCTAAAAGGCTCTGGCGGTAGTACAAAAGGACCCCCAAAGAGTCCCAAAGGGGGAGCCCTAGAACTTAGATCGCCTGGTCCGGCAACCGTTTCACCTGAGACTTCCTCACAATGTATTCAATAATCGTGCTCTTGCCTCAATGCCGGCTACATGTTCTGGCCCAGGCGGCCACGATCCCTTGTAAAGGACGAACTCAAAGGCGCACGGCCGCATCTCGAACTCCTACTCCTCGACCCGCCTATTCACCTTTGCTGCTCTCAGGGCGCTTTGCTGGGGTAATTTGCCGGCCCTGGGGCGCGAGCAGGGCCTCAAGAACAAGAACACTGCGAACAAAACTCAGGGCCCGTTTCCCTCAGGACGCGCTATTTGCTTCATGGTGGACTCCTCCTCCTCCTCCGCGTCGGCGCCCCTGGGCGAGGAGGTGCAGGGGTCCGGCTTCGCGCCCCCGGGAGAACTGCCCCAGGTCGAGCACCTCGGCCGCCTGCGTTGGGGGGCGGACGACGAGGAGGAGTAGCAGAAAAAAGTTCTACCTCTCCTCGTCCCTCCGCCGTCCTCTCTCCTGCCGCTCCTGCCTCCTCCTACTGCTCCTGCTCCTGCAGCTCCTCCTCCTTCTGCTCCTCCTCCTTCTCCTCTTCCTCCTCATGCTCCTCCTCCTCCTCCTCCTCCTCCTCCTCCTCCTCCTCCTCCTCCTCCTCCTCCTCTTCCTCCTCCTCCTCCTCCTCCTCCTCCTCCTCTTCCTCCTCCTCCTCCTCCTCATCCTCCTCCTCGTCCTCCTCCTCCTGCTCCTTTTCCTCCATTATTTCCCTTAGAAATAACTCCTCCCTGTCGCACCCCGAGGCCGGTCGACAGGGCGGGCCGGGCGTTTCGCCTGAGACATCCGCACCATTTATGACCCTGAAGCTTAAACGTTGACAGCAGTTTCACAGATGGATGGCGGGTGATTTTCAAACTGTGGCTCTCGCCTTAACGCCGAACGCATTCGTTTAAACAATTGCAAGAATTTCACGGGTTGAGGGCGGATCGTTTTCAAAATGTGGATCTCGCCTTAGCGCCACGCACGTTCTGTCTAAACATTTGCAAGACTTTCAAGGGTTGAGGGCGGCTTGTTTTCAAACTGTGGCTCTCGCCTCAGCGACGCGCACATTCGTTTTCAAAAATTGCAAGAAGTTCACGGATCGAGCGCGGTGCGTTTTCAATAGATGGCTCTCGTCTTAGCGCCGCGTACATTCGTTTTAAAAATCATGAGGGAGCGTGATCCACCGCCGCTTTGCATGGAAAATTCCCCCCTTCTTCCTTTGGAATCTGGGGTTCCCCCCCGCCCCCGAAAATCCAGAAAATCCCCCCCTTGCTCGAACCCCTCCCCCCCCCCTTCCCCAGCAAACTCCCCCCCCCCTGGAATACCGGGGGGGGTCACTACCTGTTCGAACCCCCCCCGCCCTCGCCGCCGGCAAACGACTCCTGGGTCCTCACAGCCGTCCTCACCACCGCCCTCACCACTGTCCCCACCACCACCGTCCCCACCACCGTCCCACTGTCCCCACGGTCCCTACGACTGTCCAACTGGCCCCAGTGTTCCCACCACTGTCCCGCCCCACTGTCCCCACCATTGCCCCTACCACTGTCGCACTGTCCCAACCAAAGTCCCACTGCCCCCACTGTCTCCACCACTGTCCCAGTCCCCATTGTCCCCACCGCTGTCCCGCTGTGCTGTCGCACTTTCCCCACTGTTCCCACCACTGTCCCACTGTCCCCACTGCCCCTACCACTGTCCCCACTGTACTTCTGTCCCATCGTCCCACCACCAACCTCACCACCGCCCTCACTACTGTCCCTACCACCACCGTCCCCACCAGTCCCACTGTCCCCACTGTCCCCACCACTGTACCACTGTACCACTGTTCCCACTGCTCCCGCCACTGCCCCACTGTGCTGTCCCACTCTCCTCATTGTTCCCACCACTGTCCCACTGTCACCACTGTTCCCACCACTGTCCCCAGTGTCCCCACCAGTGCCCCCACCACTGTCGCACTGTCCCCACTGTGCCCACCACTGTCCCCGCCACTGTCGCCATCACGGTCCCACTCGCCCCACTGTCCCCACTGTCCCCACCACTGTGTCCCCACTGTCCCCACCGGGAGGAGGAAGAATCGTTTGCCGGCGGTGAGGAGGGGGGGGGAGGGGGTTCGAACTGGTAGTGACCCTCCAACCGGTAGTGAACACACACCCCTTCATGATGGGTCGGGGGGGGTTGGAACCCCCAGTGATCCCCTCTGGTTTTCCAGGGGCGGGGTGGAAATCCCTAGTGACCCCCCTTGGTTTTCTGCCAGCAGCGGCAGAATACGCTCTCAACAACATTTGCAAGAGCTTCACGGATTCCCATAGTCAACGTACCAAATATGGTGCTCTTTGGAAAGATTCAGGATTATGGGGGTGCAACAGTTACGTTGATTCGCGGTGATGAAGTCCCACGAATTAGCTTTCTGGCACGATTCAGGGTCGTCAAGACACAACAAAAATCAGGTTGATCCGTGGCGTTGGAGTCCCGAAAATAATGCTTTGCAATGCTTCAGGATCTTAAAACGGTTGTCTTCCAACGAGGCAGCTCCCTCAGTGGAAATGAACCGCTGTAGGGGCCTATGAAGAGGGAGCTTGGAGGGAGGGTTTATTCCAACATCGCTGACGACTCTTAGGTTTACACTGGTCCTCCTCCTCCACCTCCTCCTTCTCCTCTTCCTCCTGGTCATCATCGTCATCACCATCATCCCAACAGCAGCATCATCATCATCATCGTCATCATCATCGTCATCATCATAATCATCATCATCCACATCATCCACATCACCATCATCCTCATCATCATGAACACGATCATGAGCATCAGCATCATCATCAACATCACCATCATCACCAGCATCAGTATCATCATCGTCGTCATCATCGTCATCATCATCATCCTCGTCCTCCTTTTCATCATCATCACCACCATCATCACCATCATCACCATCATCACCATCATCCTCATCATCATCATCATCATCATCATCATCATCATCAAAATCATCATCATCATCCCACTCGGCGAACCGATGCTGAACCTCAACAATGGGTAAAACATGCTGGCAACTAAGTATGATGAGGCCGCACCCGTGAAAATGCAGCTGTGGCAGGGGGGGCAGGCGCCAGTGTGCGCCAGGAGCCGTTGGTCAAGGTCCTCCGGAAGGTGGCCAAGATCAGGTCTCTCCATCGCGCCCGCCACATGTGCAAGAGCCCTGTTCCGTTGGGATTGACACATGTGGCCATGTACGTCGGCGTTGTCCCTAGCTTCGCGTGGAGTCGCTGCCCTGCACACTCACACGGCGCGTCGCCCGATCACCGTCGACATGGCCATGAGCGGCGGCAACGTGCAATCCATCGACCCACCTTGCGTTCGGCGCTTCTACAAGACCCGTCGTCAGTTCGGCCGCAGTTTTCTGACAGGACACGCTGCCGCGGCGGTGGCAATTAACGAACGACTCGACGACCCCCCCCCCCAGCGCTACCTTTGGATGGCTCTCCTCTCGTCTGGCCCTGCATGGGGCACGATCGCCCTATCGAATGCCATCTTGAATCCTACTGTCACTGGGCCTCCTGAGCTACCTCGTCGAGAGGGGCGCCCTGCGCTAGTAGAAACAAAAGTCGATGAGCTTTGGCAGGAAGTACGGGCGGAGGATGACGGAGGTTGTTGTCCACAGCGATCCTGAGTTTCACCCTAAGGAGGGCGTTGCAGGTAGTGGAGAGTCGGAGGAGCAGCCTGCGTCGCCGCTGAGACTCACTCTTCTTCCTCACCAAAACGGGCAACAATTTGTTTCCAAGACCGCTCCATCTTGAGCCAAAACGCCGGCGGACGTCCGGCAAATCAAACGCAACGCTTGAGGACCAGCGTGGTTTTACTTTGCTGCGTCTCGTGTCGCTGCTACAACATATTTCACATGTGCGCGGGGTTGGTGCTGCCGCCGCTCACCGATCCACGCTCCTCCTCTCCGTGCCAGTCATCATCGGATCTGACACGGAGCCTTCGCGACGAGGGTCCAAACTGGCCTTCGGTCGTGGGATCGCGGGGAGCATCGCGCACACACTTCAGCCACAATTTCTTCTCTAAAATCAGTCGCCCCCTACGCCCAGAACCCCGACGCAGATCGCGCGCGAGCCATGCCAGGGACAGGCGCATGTTTTGCAAGGCCGCCCGCCCTTTGCTCCACAGCGAGAACGCGCCCAAGCTGCAAGGTCCCCTGGCGAGGCCTGCTGCGCAAAGCGCTGGGCTTGCTCGCCAGGCAAAGGGTGCGCCACGAGCCTTGGCCCATGGCTACTGCGAGCGACGCGCTGTTGTCTCCCAAAAAGCAGCGCCTTCCATCGCGAGGCAGACCCATGGCCAGGCTCGCGATCTCAGCCTCGGCCGTCGACTGGACAACTGCGCCTGCTTGATCGACCCCCAGTCGACAAAGCATTTGCACACGTACGTTGCTACGCCCGACGGGCTGCAGTCGGGCTCAAAACTGGCATCCGCAAAAAACTGCAAACGCAACTCACCCATCCCAGCTTTGCACAACAGCCCGTAGGTACGAGTGCTGATTAGATGCATGAGCACACGCCTACCCAGGCGAAGCGCCCAGAGAAGACGCGAAGAGGCAGCAGAGGCAACGCGGGACACTACGAATGCTACGTCGGGCCTCGTCCGGCTGCTCAGCCACAAAAGTTGAGCGCACCGTGGGGGTCCGATCTATACCCTCCCCCCAAAAACGTCAAGTCAGGGGGGGCGTCAAGGGGGCAAAACGCGTAAGCCGTCAAGGCAAACCTTGCGACCAAATTTGGCCGTCAAAATCTTAATGGGCGGAACGTTTCAGCGATGCACGTTTTCAAATCCTCCGTTGCCGCCTCCCTCGATCCCCTCCTCATCCTCCCATCTCCCCATTGCTCCTACCTCTTCAGCATGATCATGGTTTACCTTCGCCCCCTTGTGTTCTTCATGGTTGCGTTTCGCACGTGCCGTTCTTCATGCCCCCCATCTTCCTCATCTCCCTTATCGGCGGCGGCGGTGAGGCGCGGCGGTCTCTCTCTCTCTCTCTCTCTCGCCACGCGCTGCTAAACCAACCCCCATGCGCGCCCCCACCCCTGATAGTTTCATAGCGATTATCTTCGCTCCCTCGCTCACGGCCGCAAGTATCTTCGCGCCCTGGCCCCCCTTGGACCCTCGAAAGAACACGAGAGGTAAGAGCCTCGAGGAGCAGAAAAGGCAAGTCGGAGTAGCAGAGCAGAGGGACAAGTCGGAGCCCCCCATCCTGACGCGAGGAGCAGAGGGACAAGTCGGAGTAGGATGAGGAGCAGGGGGACAAGTCGGAGTAGGATGAAAGGCTGTCAGGGCGTTCGTCCACCAGCGGCAGCGAGAGAGCGCGGCTGCGCGCCCCAGCTGCGGACTGCACGGCGGCCCCAACACCCGAGGGCCGA